AATTAAAAAAAAATTTTTTTTTAATTGTAATAATTAATTTTTTTTTTAAATTGTTCATTTTTTATGTATTTTCCAAAAAAAAAAAAATATATCAATAAAATTTAAATAAAAATTTCGTTAAAAAAAATAAAAATTAAAATAGTTGACCCCACTTGTAAATATTTACCGTATTTGTTTGTTTGAACTTTAATTAATTGAAGTATACGCAAGTCGTATCGACTTTCATTGTATATTATTATTATTATTATTATTATTATTATTCAAATTTATTTTCATTATTAATGTTGGTATTTTTATTACAAGCGATGTTTAAGTATTAATTATTATAATTATTATTATTTTTATAAAATTCGATGGTATTTATTGGAACAAAATTAAGCTTTAAATTTTCAAGATTTGGTTATTAATCAGGTCAATTAAAAAAACAAATTAATTGCTAATTAATGCTTCATTTCTTGCAAATATTTTCTGATAAATTAACTAATTTTTTCTTTATTTAATTAAACCTTTCTTGAGAAAAAAAAAACCAAAAAGAAAAGGGATTTGCAATTGTTAAAAAAGCTTTGTGGTTTTTAAAGGACTCTATTGTAATTGAAGTAAAAAAAAAAATGATTTTAAATAAAAAAAAAAAAGGACTGAGGATATGAATTAAAAATGTGCGAAAAATTTTTCGGGTTAACCTAAAGGTGGCCAAAGGAATTATCGAATAGAAGTATGTAAAAGATTAAAAAAAAAAAATAATAATAACAATAATAATTAATAAAAAAATAAAAATGTAAAAGACGAGTCGCGAGTGCCACTAATAAATAATATTAAAACTATTAATAATTAATAATAAAATAAAATAGTGGCTCGTCAGAATAAATAATGATCTCATATGTTGCAGACGTTCTAGACGCGCAGTTGATCTGTTGATAGTTGATATACAGCAGCAAGGGGGAGGAAAATTTAGTGCGAATGATTATTATTGTGTATAAATAATAAATTAAAAATAAAAATACTAATAATTATAATTATAAAAATAAAAACGTAACATGCTAGTGAGGGAATGCAATTATGAGAGAGATTTAAAAGAGTGAGAAAAATGTGAAAATAAAAAATTAAAAAAAATAAGCGTTGATAATAAATTTAATTAAAAAGACATGTAAATTATCTATTTAGATAGACTTTCTAAATTATTATTATTATTATTTTTGTCTAAATTTATCGGCGTTTAAATTTATTTTGTAATACGGCTATTAATATTATTGAAAAAAAAATTGTAATTTATTTATTAATTATAAATTAATGAATTTATTAGAAAAATGCGCAAATAAAACATGTAAGTTAACGGATGCATGAATCTAAGTGTATGTGAATAATTATATAAGTAGTTAAAAATAATTAAAAAAAATTAACAACAAAAACAAACTTTACGCAATGTATTATAATAATTACTCGCTAAAAAACCACTGATTCTATATATATCTATACATCAATACCAACTTTTTAATAATATATATTTTTTCATTGATTATTTATTTTCTCTTGTGCGTACGCACTCGTTATACATATATAAATAAATAAATAAATATATATATATATATATATATATATATATATATATATATATATATATATGTATAAAAATAATTGTAACTTTAAAGTCTCTTAATATTAATTACAATTTTAATAAAATTGCAGTTAATAATAATTGAAGAATTTTTTGAATTATAAAGACTAAAAAATTAACACTCGGTATTAATATTAGAGTTAGCGCTTTACACTAGAAAAATTAATATCCAAATGGTTAAGCAATTAAATAATTTGCTGAATTATTAATAAATTGTTTGTAGTGATTTTGTTCAAGTGACGGGTGCTTTTCTATAAACAGCTGATTATAATTAATATTTAATAATTAATAAAAATTCCCTTTGGGCTTTATAATTTGAAAATAAAATATAATATTTGGCCTTTCGTGTAAATATGTCTATTTAGGCCAGTACTCTTGGGTCTCAATTTAAAAACTCTATTTTTTTTTTTTAGCGGGGGTGTTTATCAATTTTGAATAGCGGTCATTCAATTTTGATTGCAACTCTGTTAAAATTTTTATAATTAATTTTGCAGATATTTGATCATTTTTTTAACAAATAAATTATAAAAAAAATTGAAATGAAAAAATTAAGAATGCAATTTTTTAAAAATAATTTTTTTGTTAAAGAAAAAAATTTTGACAAAAAAAAATTATAAAAAAAATTGACATGTAAAAATAAAAAATTCAATTTTTTTAAAATAATTTTTTTGAAGTAATTTATTTGTTAAAGAAAATTAAAAAATTTTTCAGTTTTTTATTGTAAATTTAAATTATTATTTCTACAATGAAAAACGGTGATATTAATATATAAAAAAGGAAAAGCGTCGGTCACTAAAAAAATTTAAATTAATGAATAAATGCTAATAATTGTCACTATCATTAATGAGATAAATATTATTAATATTAATATTAATGAATAAATTAAAAAAAAAAAAAAAAAATAGAATATATTTTGTATTAATGATAGATAAACCGAATTAAACGGCAAACGCAGAGGCCTGTAAAAGACTGAATTAGGTGCCGTTCTCGTAATTAAAATTTTATTTCGGTACCAACGTCTGTCATTTAATTAAAAATCACCAATAAAGTGACAAAGACTACTTTAATTATTGTGTATTTTTTTTATTTTTATATTACCATCCTTTATTTAACAAACTTTATATCAATTAGCTCCAACTGGTTTTAAATGTCAATTAAAAAATTTTATTTATTAATTAATAATTATTATTGTTTATTTTTTTTTCAGTCGAGACAGACGTTGCGTATTGATCGAATTCGCAGTAACATCAAAACAATGTGAGAGTACTGAGTACTGAGTGCGAATAATGTGAAAGATAATGGAGTATTCGTTATGAGTTATGAGCTACGCTTTTGCAGCTATATTAATAAATTTAAAAATTATATTAATAATATTTAGATGAAAAGTATAATTAAATTAGTGGTTTGTTAATACCACGTTAATAAATTCCGTCTAGTGGATACTCCATTTATTGTGTAGACGAAATAGCAATAATAAATAAATAAA